ACCTACGAAAGAGCAAAATAGGAGCGTCTAGGGTTTTCGAGTTTGAACGAGGGCCGCAGCATACGAGGAGCGTCAATTAATCCTTTCGGAGGGAAAAAAGGTATGTTTGATACACGTGGCTGACTAATAACCGTTGATTGAAGGGAAAAGAAATCAATCTGACGGCCGAGAAAGAAACCCTAACCCTGGGGTTGTGCTATATATTGGTCTCAAGGTTCGCTTTCGTCCTCCTCTCACTCCGCCGGTCCTCACCTCCTTAGAAATTCATTCTGTCGGCCCTCTGTCTGCCTAGCCGCCTCGATTGTAGTCGATTCAGCAACGATTTGAGTCAACGCTTCCCTGTTCTGCTCTTCGATCTTCATTTTTTATCCTCTTGGTGGCAGAGGCTAAAAAATTTCCGTCTCCCCCATTTCCGCTTCGCTGGTGTAAAGGTTGGTTCTTTTTTATGTATCTATGGGATTTTTTGTTTCTTTGTGTTCTGAAGTTAATATGTTATGGGTTTTTAAGTTCGACTGTTTAGTATTTATGTTGCCCTGTTCTTGTTTCTATTTGGTTTGCTGGAATGATTGTGATGTTTAATGAAATTTATTCACATTTCGTAATTTTCTTTTTCTGGTTGCTAAATCAGATTTAAAATGGATTTATTGGGTTATATATGATTCAGGCGTGGGGATTTGATTGATTTAATGTTATAGGTAATTAGCCTAATTGTTTGTCAGTTACTTGCGTATTCTGCTTCTCTTTATTGAATTTTATCGGGGGATCTTTTATCCGACATATGCCTAAACATGAAAGCTTACTGTTGTTTTGGGTATGAGTTTGAATGTTTGGTGGAAACCTGTTTTTATCGGCAATCTTTCTCCCTGCTGATCCAAAAGGACATATTTTTGCCAGTGTTTGTTTTGAAAGATTCGTGGCAATATGTTTATTACCATTACTTAAGTAACCCAAATGAGAGGTATGATGATTTACTTTGATTTTGATGCGTACTTTGACTGAATCAACTCATTCTGAAATTTTAGTTTTGTAGCATACTAGTTGATTATGCTTCTGAATGGCGAATAAACTGTACTTATTGTTTTGATCTTTGTCCATTGAACAGTTTTCTGCTAAGCAACCACTATGGGTAAGGAGAAGGTTCACATCAACATTGTGGTCATTGGTCATGTCGACTCCGGAAAGTCGACTACCACTGGTCACTTGATTTACAAGCTTGGAGGTATTGACAAGCGAGTTATTGAGAGGTTTGAGAAGGAGGCTGCTGAGATGAACAAGAGGTCGTTCAAGTATGCTTGGGTGCTTGACAAGCTCAAGGCCGAGCGCGAGCGTGGTATCACCATTGATATTGCCTTGTGGAAGTTTGAGACCACCAAGTACTACTGCACCGTTATTGATGCCCCCGGACATCGTGACTTTATTAAGAACATGATTACTGGCACCTCTCAGGCAGATTGTGCTGTCCTTATCATTGACTCTACCACTGGAGGTTTTGAAGCTGGTATCTCTAAGGATGGTCAGACCCGTGAGCATGCCCTCCTTGCTTTCACCCTTGGGGTGAAGCAAATGATTTGCTGCTGCAACAAGGTTTGTTGTTGCTTACATATTTTCTTTAGGTGTCTGAAATTTATACTGGCATTTGAGAAGTGGATCTTAGAATTTCCTGATATTGTTTTACCTAACCTAGGTTGTTATTATTTGGACAGATGGATGCCACCACCCCCAAGTACTCAAAGGCAAGGTATGATGAAATTGTGAAGGAAGTCTCCTCGTACTTGAAGAAGGTTGGATACAACCCTGATAAGATTCCATTTGTTCCTATCTCCGGGTTTGAGGGTGACAACATGATTGAGAGGTCAACCAACCTTGACTGGTACAAGGGCCCAACACTTCTTGATGCTCTTGACCTGATTAATGAGCCCAAGAGGCCCTCAGACAAGCCTCTTCGTCTCCCACTTCAGGATGTATACAAGATTGGTGGCATTGGAACTGTGCCAGTGGGACGTGTTGAAACTGGTGTTCTGAAGCCCGGTATGGTTGTCACTTTTGGTCCCTCTGGATTGACCACCGAAGTTAAGTCTGTTGAGATGCATCATGAAGCTCTGCAAGAGGCTCTTCCCGGTGACAATGTTGGGTTCAATGTGAAGAACGTTGCTGTGAAGGATCTGAAACGTGGGTTTGTTGCATCCAACTCCAAAGATGATCCTGCCAAGGAGGCACCAACTTCACTTCTCAGGTTATCATCATGAACCACCCTGGGCAGATTGGAAATGGCTATGCCCCAGTGCTTGACTGCCACACCTCTCACATTGCTGTGAAATTTGCTGAGATTCTAACCAAGATTGATAGGCGGTCAGGTAAAGAGCTTGAGAAGGAGCCCAAGTTCTTGAAGAATGGAGATGCAGGTTTTGTCAAGATGATCCCGACCAAGCCCATGGTTGTGGAGACCTTCTCTGCATATCCTCCTCTTGGTCGTTTTGCTGTGAGGGACATGCGACAGACTGTTGCTGTTGGTGTCATCAAGAATGTGGAGAAGAAGGATCCTTCTGGTGCTAAGGTGACAAAATCTGCCGTCAAGAAGAAGTGAAAGATGCTGGTGGTTTCAACAATGGGGTGCCAGTATATGGAGTATAATAAAGGCTTGGTTCTTTTCAGATGTCTGGTTGATAGTTTAGTTGTCTGTTTTAGTGCTCATAGTTGTAAGTCATCTCCTTCTCGCAGCTGCTGCTGCTGCTGCTCCCAGAACTGGGTTCTTGATAGGCGGTGGTGTGTCATTTTTTTAGGGAAGGGTTTTGCTTCTATTTGTTTCTCTTAAATGCTTTGTTAGTGGTGTGATTCGTGATTGTTGGTTTTACTTGTTCAAGTTATCTATTCTTTAAACATATGTAATTCTATTTTTTTTGTTATTGGCGTTTTAATCTTTATTGGCTTCTGGTGTGTTTATTATGTTTTTTGTTCGTTGCCTGCTCTTTTTAGGGTTTTCACTTTTGGAGCTTTGAATTAGTTTCATCTTGTTTCTAAATCTGATGGAATTATTTATGAGACCCGTGTTGCAGACATTTGCAGAGGTTGTAATCTTGTAAGTTCTTGAGTCTCCAGAGGGGGGAACCTTGAAGGGGTTATGAATTGTGAAGCTGCTGGGGAAATAATCTCTTCACATTTCTCAAGCTACTCGTGAAATTTTGTGGTGGTCTAAGGGAGAGTAAAACCAAACAAGAATCTGACTGAACAAACAAATAAATTAAGTAAAAAAATTAATTAATTAATTAAACCGGTTCGGACTATTAATTTTCAATATAATATAATTTTTCAATATATACTTATAAATATATATATTAAAAATATATTTTATAAATTATATGTAACTAACCAAAATGACCAGGGCAGTTCCACTATATGATTATTAGATTTATAATTATATATATATACACATATGTTTATGTATATATATATAATTATAACTCAAATTTTTAAATCTGAAATATTGTTGCTGTAAAATTATAACTGACAAATCAGAATTATAATATATATATATATATATATATATATACAGTCTATAGTATTATACTATTATTTAATTTATTAGGAAACAGAATTTAATCATACAAGGTCGGATTTGTGTTAAGGGAAATTTTGCAGTTTTAGAAGGACAGGCCAGTTGATTTTTTATTTTTTTTTTGAAACGATAGTCTGTTTTTTTCGGTACTTTTTATAATTAGTTTTAACGCGATACAAGATGAATAAAATTTTATTTTTATCATGTTTTGATCTCAATTTCGATTCTAATTCTAGTATTTATGTTTATATGCACAAATCTAAAAAACAAATAAATTATGAAGAAATTAGAGAAAAAAAAACTGCTAAAATTATTGTTATAAGAAAAAAAAAGACAAATTACAGCTAAAGAGAAAACAAAAGATGACAGGAGCAACTACTAATTGAAAAATCTTAAACCGATTTACTGTACACAACAATGGGACTCCTTACTTTATGGACAGAATCAGACCAGACCAGAGATGCAGATATTGGAGATTTCAATTCTTCCCCAGCAACAGTAACACTGAAAGATTTCTTCTCGTCCGAAGACTTGAAAGAGAGAATATGGGGTTCCACCGTGATGCTAACATTTAGATTCGAGGAAACGGTTGCCTTGTAAGTAGAGCTTGCACTGCCAACGTTCGTGACAGTTCGTTGGAAAACAATCTTGAATGGCTTTTGTGGTTTGTCAATTTTGACAGCCATTGAAGGATAGTTAAGATCCCTCACCAGTGACTTATCAACTTCCTCAGGACAAGTACTTTTGTCTCCTGATATTTGTCGGATCATATTTGAATCATAGCCTGACCCGCAAAGCATTTTTATGTAATCTCCTTTATCAGCTTCATACACAAGTCCAGGATTAACAGCCCTTAATGGATTGACATGCCCAGATCCATAAGCGAATTCAGCATCAGCATTTTTCAAAGGTCTCATTTTCCAAGCTGCAAGAAAAAAAAAAGGAAAATATCATTAACTTATTGAGCAAGAAACATGAATTAACAAACGAAAGATGTAAAATGGATGGAGAAATTAGGAAATTGAAGAAAACCAGTTGTCATTAGTGCAGATTTAATGGCGGAAGGAGACCAATCAGGGTGAAATGACTTGACATAAGCCGCAGCTCCAGCCACATGTGGGCAAGACATGGAGGTTCCAGATATTACATTGTAATCTTCTTGTCGTGTATCTAAAGGATCATTTGTGGGTGCTTTAAGAGGTGAATATGCAGCCAAGATATCCACTCCTGGAGCTGTTAAATCTGGCTGCATTACATCAAAACACTTCATATCAGAAAAAGCTAGTAGCATAGATAGATTGTAGACATGGGAATACAAAGAAGTACCTTATAGGCTATAAATTGTATGTACCTTTAAAATATCTGGTGCAATGAGATTTGGCCCGCGTGAAGAGAAGTAAGCAACGACAGGAGCATTCGTATCTTTTCTAGTCTCACTTCTCAGTATTTCTGCCACAGGTTTCCTGCAAAATTTGCATAAGAATAACTTAGCTAAATTCAGTATTTCAATTAATGACTATTATCCTTAATAAGATGTAATGCATATCCTTACTTAGCTGATTTAAAATATGCTTTGATAGTTCCAAAATCATGTGATAGTAAAGCCAATGCAGGTATAGGGGAAACCGAAGTAACATTCTCGGTCATTTCAGTTTGATGCACCGATCCCACACCTCCAGCCCAATGAACAACAGGAGCTCCTCCCGCACTATCACATAGCACAATTTTTCCGTCTACCAAATCAGTATCCAGACATCCTGTAATGCACATCCTGAAATTCAATACAAAGTTTCTTACTTCACTAGTGTACTTCACCAAAAACCCTTGACCTGAAATCATTTTATGAACAAGACATACTTAGCAGCTGGTTCATCACATGATTTCGTGGCATCTTCCCCGTATACCAACGGGTATTTTTTCCCGTGTAGACTAAAACCATTAATAGATTTGCCCTGTATGAAAAGTTAGAGTGGGGTGTGGTTAATTTCAACATATGAAAACTGAATTAATAGTATGAAGAAAATCAAATTGGTTAATGTGGAAGATAGTTCACGAAACGTACAACTAAAGTCTTTCCATTCCCAAGAACAACTTTTGTGATGTAGGAACGATCAGTAGTGCTTGCTGCAACAGAAAGCATCCATGGCGATACACTTGCCACTGATCCACTTTCAGGACCAGAATTTCCTGCGGAGTTCACAGTGAGAATTCCTTCAGCCATGGCATGAAAACTACCAATTGCAATGGGATCTTGGGTATATTCTGATGCAGATGCTCCTCCTATCGAAATCGTTATGATATCAACTCCGTCAGCAATAGCATCATCGAAAGCAGCCAAGATAGCCTCTGAACTACACCCATCAGCGGAGCAAACTCTATATGCAGCAATTCTTGCAGATGGAACACCTCCCATTGCAGTACCTTGAGCCACTCCATAAAAACTTACATTCATTACTTTGTTTCCTGCTGCTGTGGAAGCAGTGTGGGATCCATGACCTTCAGTATCCCTCGCAGAGTCTATTGTGGGATCAGACGTGTAATATCGTGCTCCAATAACTTTGCTGTTAATAATTTTGACACAACAATCTCTCATTAAAACATAAAGAAGCTATAAGTATTGCTTTTATTTCAAAAATATTTTAGAGAAATTTACTTATTGCATGTGAAATTTCGACCACCCTTACAAGCACCCTTCCATTTGTCTGGAGCAGGACCAAAACCTTCATCATTAAAGCTTTTTGATTCAGGCCAAATTCCAGTGTCAATTACACCAACGATAAGATCATTTTCCCTTTTTGAATTTCGGTGCTTCTCGGTAGTCTTGTTGAACCCCATGAAGCGCCAAGATCTTGTCGTCTGTAGCTGATACATTCTGTTTGGAAAAACTGATACTACTTCTTTCATTGCTGCATGGATTAAGAAAGTTTAATTGTGATCTATGATTGAATCAACCATGTACTGAATTTTTTCCAAAGAGAAAATCATTTTGCAGTACTCACCAGCCAACTTCTGTCTCTCAGAATCAGTGATCTTGGCTGCAAATCCATTG